GCCTCTTATTTCTTTTTTTGGGGCATGCTAGGAAACGTCTCGCCGGATTCGTGTCGATCTGGGGTTTTCGTGATGGCTCTCTTTCCACTCTCAGTATTTGCATCTGTCTCTTTTCTCTCGTGTTTCTCACTTGATTGGGTTGTTATTTTACAACCCTCGGAACATCTCCGTCACAGAGCAGGCGAGACTGATATCCTCGGTCTTCGCTTTAAGTCTACCCTACTCTTGATAATCCATTCGGTCTGGTCGAGTCGGAATGCTTTCATCACCCGATCACGTTGAGCATTGAACTTACACGTCGAGATTGAATTAATATTACCTTGAAAGAAGTGGAGCACATGACTCCAAATCAATTTCGGGTTAATAGATCATGTCGGGAGCAACCAAAATGAGGATTTCTTGGATTTCAATGGCACAAAGCTTTGGTCACCGGGATTTCTAGCAATGATAGGATTGGATAAGATAGAGTATGAAATCCTATATACTATTCACTGTTTGGCGAATCACAGTAATAAAGCCGGATACTTTCATTTCCTGTTATATCTATTGCTTAATATGAACGGTATATAAATATAAATGAACCTAAAAATGCACAAACGGAAATGGTAATAATTTCTCATGATTCACTAGTAAAGAAACCACAAATACACAAATAGAGATAATCTCCATCAATCAATTCATAATTATTGTTTGATCTACATCTTAAACATGTTGGACAATGACAAGAAATGTAAATAGAATATGACAACATCGACGAGGTAGATCGGCCAGCATACGCCAGATCTAATAAAAGAGAGAAAACATGATTATTCACTCTTACGATTCCGAAAAATATAGTGCTTTGGCCCTTTCGTCACTTATGTGAAATTTCAACGTGAATAAAAAAGTTGCAGAAAATGGGAGTTTGAACTCTTTTGTTGCTTTTGTGGACTTTTGATGTGAGCTAGAGAGTTACGGAGGCGAATGAGTTTGGACTCTTTCGTCATTTTCATGGAGCTTTGATGTGAACAAAGAATTACGGAAGTTGTGAAACTTCAACATGGACCAAAGATACGGAGAAGAAGGAGGGGAAGTGAATTAGAAATATTCATTTCAAGTTTAAATTTGTTCATTTAAAATCGGGGTTCTACTTTATTTTTATACACTTATTTTTTAACAAATTTTCCTCTCTTTTTTATTTCTTTTTTATTCCCTTCCTTTATTAAATAATAAACTATATTAATATACCTAAAATATGTAATAAATATAGATATTGAATATATATAAACTTAATATATATTATGGAATAGAAAGAAAGCAAATATATAAATAACATTAGGAATAAAAAACGAAAACTTGTCCATTAATTTTTTTGTTATTTTTAATTTTTTTATATTAGAATCTGAATATTATTTTATATATAATTATTACTTTAATTTTTTGATTTAAAGAAGTTTGTTATTCAAGAAAAATAGCTTTTATGCCATGGATATAAGAAATCATATCCATCTTTATTCCACCTCTCCCGTGAGATATTTTTATCTAGGCTATATCTTCTTTACATCTGACTTTATCCTATCTTAGGTAAGCACTAAATACGGGTTATGATACATTTTATTCTATCCCGATTTTTGTCCTGATTATCAAACGTAGTTCAAAAGATTTACCAGAATTATCATTAATTTCATATAAGAAGATTTGTACATGATGATCGAATCTCTATGCTCGTGCAAACACCAAATTGTGTATAGACGGAGAACTTCCAAATAAACGTGATCACCGCACATATAAAAATATAATTATATAAAATATGAAATTTTTTTTAGGGGGGCATGGCTTTTCCTTGGTTGGGAAGTAAATTCATGGATCGGCATTGTAAATGACTTCATCAACCAGGAGTTCCCACTTCCAATCGCAAAATTAGAATAATAATAAGGGAAAAAGTCATAAAAAAATTTCAAATGATACTCACTGTGACATATTTATCTTAAACTTTTTATGTGATATAAAAAATTTCAAATTTGTACTTGTGTGATACGTTTACCATCCCTCAATGATCATTGCTAAAAATTTGTCTTCATGGACTCCGAAAAGCAAATAATGTTGACATGCCCATGAGGCTAAAGTGAAATAAAAACGATATTGTTTTGGCTAAAAAATCATCTGACGGAACTTTGACAGAGAGCAAATGTATCACATAGGTACAAGTTTTGGGTTTTTTATGTCAAAAGAAAAAATTTATGGCAAATGTATCACAGTGTGTATAGTCTGGGGTTTTGATATCACAAAAAAAGTTCAGGGCAGATGTGTTAAAGTGGACATAATTTGGGGTTTTTGGTGACTTTTTCCTAAATAATAAAGAAAATTTTGCAAAATTTTGAAATATTAGTGGGGCCTGAAAGCTGCGGGAACATAATCTTACGGCCCACTCACCTCGGAGTCGGTCCCCATCTCAAGTCAATACTAAGTGTCCGTTTATTTTGCGAAAAATATTTTCCTCATTTTCTGGCATTTGGTTCGCTTAAAAAAAATGAATTAACAGAAAACTTATGTTTAAATTCAGAAAAATAATTTCCATTTTAAAAAATCAGATATCATTTTCCAAAATATGACTCGGTGTCTGTGCTTAAACCCGAAATTTGTTGCTTGGGCATGGGAGCCCTAATGCTGGTTTCCAGCGTCCAGGACCCAATTTCCGGTGCTTGGGCCCAAATCCATCGAGACTAGGCCCGCGATCTCAGTGCTCGTGCCTTGGTCCTTGGTGTATGTGCCCGTGTCCATTAAAGTCGAGCCCAATACCTTGGTGCCTACATCTAAGTCCATCGAGACCGGACCAAAAGCCCCGGTGCTCATGCCTGATGCCCCAATACCCGATCTTGGATCCACAAAGGTTGAGTGCAAGATCCCGGTACCTGAGCACAAATCCCCAACACACGGGCCCAGATCCACAAAAGTCATGCCCACATCCCCGATGCTCAAACTTTGGACCTCGGGAAGGCCCGGGTCCACAATAGCCATGCTCGAGCCCTCGACGCCTGGGCTCGGGTCCTTGGTGCCCGAGCCAGGGTCTATTAAGGCCGAGGCCTAGGACCTTGGTGCCTGTGCCTGTGCCTGTGCTTGGGTCCATCAAGCCCAGGTTTGGGATCTCGGTGCTCACTCTCAAGTCTATTGAGGTCGAACAGCGGTACCTTAGCACTCGCGCCCCTATCTATCAACGTCGAGCCCGGGACCCTAGTGCCTATGCCCCGATCCTTGGTGCCCAGGTCGGGCCCCATCGAGGCCACACCCGGGACTGTGTGGTGCCCGTATCCGGTACCGTAGCTATCAATTCACAAAATTACGAGCGTCCGAATAGCGTACGTCTCTTTAGGAAAATTAAATATGATTCTCTATACCAAACACGGAATATGACGCTATTGGGGTCCGCACCATGCACGCCCAAAGATCGTCCTCCGTTCCTCGTCGCGCCTTCACTCCTTCATTTCACATTTTTCCTACGATCTTCGCTCTTTCTCTCTCCCTCTCCCTCTCTCTCTGTGTCAGTCGTTCAGTCTTCCGCTCCTCTCGCCGTCGCGCCCGCTTCACCCTGCGCGATCTCCTCCGACTCATTCGATCTTCAGGTACTCTCTCTTCTCTCTCCCTCTATCTCTCCGCCTGCGCTTGTTCATGTGCGTTTCCGCTGCTACTTGTTTGCATGCATGCATCACGAGGCCCCTCCATTCGTCGCCCCACCACCTCCTCTCTGTTGCGTCCTTGTTGGGTTGAGTGCATCGGCTCACGAAGTCGCCTTTCTGGTTGCGCCTTTCGACCCTGTTTTTTCGGCCTCTCGGGACTGGTCGTTCCTAGGGTCGGTCGCGTCGGAATCGGAGGTGCACTGGTGGGTTCTGCGTGGTTTCTCCCCCATTCCTTTCCTCTGGTCGTCTCGCCATCCACGTATCGATCGAAACGGTATAGGTTTCCTTGTCGATTTCGGGATGCTTTTTGGTTATCATCCACTCTCTCCGTATCTCCTTGCGTGTGCGTGTTTGCTGTAAAACCTTGAGAGAAAAGAGCAAAAGAGAAAACGTTGGGCCTATGAGGGGAACTGTTCAAAGTAACTTTTTTTTTCCTTTTTTCCAGTTTGGATGGGGGGTGATTAGGAGTGTTTTAGAGAGGAAGAGGGAAGATTAAGAAAATGTACTTCTTGATTGGTAGGAGGGATTGAGATCAAGGGACTTAAGAAGGGATATGGAGGAGGGATTAGAGTCCCAAATTTCCTTTGCTTTCTCTAATCTCCTCAAATCAGTCCAAATCTGGATATTGTGGGAGACTCTGTAAATTATTATTTTCCCCTCTCTTACATGTACGCCCCCTTGTTATTTCTATAAAACATTGATGTCATGTGAGCCTTAATTCTCTTTTGGCGAATAAAAAACACCCCTTTTTCTTGTTTACTTTTCATTTTTGTCATCTACTTCTTTTAACTTGCCGTGTTGTTAATCCTGTGAGTATGCATCTCTGACAACTTCGTTAGGATTTTTTAGCATTTTCATATGAGCCTCAGTTCACTTCTTTTGCTGGCAAAAAGATAAAGGGTATACTTTTTCTCCGTTTCGTTCGTTCGACTTTTTAAGTATCTTTCCTATAATTTTTCGGTTGTGAGCATAACATGCCTTTTTAAACTTGTTTTCAAGTTTTGTGGCTTTGTCAATTTATAGAAGATCATGTCAAAGTAATGCGTACTTTAGTCATTCATGGTGCGCGATCTTCATTGGTTCACTACTTTAACATTGCTAACATCAACCCCGCACATCGGCGCGATAACGTGAATTAATTTGGTAAAATCAATTTTCATTCATTTTTATCTTCGAAGAATTCTTTTCTGCTCTTTTCTCCTCTTCAACTAAACATGAAATTGTCAAATTCCCTTCTTAACAACAATAAAACAAATCATGTCCTGTCTTTTTCTCTCTCTCCTGAGGTCATTATCCGAATCCTTTCCATTCTCTTCTAAGTACTCCATCCAAACTGAGTGTTGATGTGTTTTTGGTGCTATCTGATGGAAACTTTTTCTTCTATTTCCTTACTTTTGCTTTTCCTCCCCTGTATGGAGTCCCTCAAAAGATCGGGAGATGGAAATTATCAAATAGGTGGACAAGAAGGAGGCTTGGATGGATTTAATCTGTTCTACTTCTGTCAGTTTATTCCCCATTTTGCATTAAGAGTGTTGCTTTAGGTAAGATGTTGTTCATCACCTCAGCAGCTTTATCCACCTTGGTGACAGGAAACCATAAATTAAAACGAATGGGTAGACCGCCTTAAATTTTTTTTTTTTCTTTTTGGAAGTGGGGGAGGGGGGGGGGGGGGGGGGGTCATCACTTCTGGCCAAAGTTTAGTTCATTTAATTTCACTGTTGTCATGATACGATGAGTTAGAATGGGAAAAAACCAGAAAGGGGCCTATATCTTTCATTTTTGTTGCATGGTTTTTTTATTTTTTGTCTACTTTATATCAATTCTTTTCTTTAATTTCTAACTGAATATGTAATCCAGCTAGGGTTTGCGTACAAAGATGAGTTCCAGGAGAGGGAGCTGGAGTTCTTCTAGCTCTGGTAACAATAGTCATCCATCTTCCAAGGGTAAAGAGACATCAGAGGTTGAGCAATTGAGTCGGGGAGTGGGAGAAGTTCGATTGGATTCTGCACCAGTTGATGGTGGTGAGTGGGAAGTATATGCTAGGAAATCGAAAACCAAAGCTGGAAGTAGCTCCGGGAAACCCCGGCCTCCTCAGAATTCTAATTCTAAAGCATGGGGGCAGCAAGATGTGGCTCAGAAGCCAGTTATAAGGACTAATAGTGGATCAGGGAGGGCAGCTGGCAGCAATTCCTGGTTCCCACAAGCTTCTGACATTAGGAAACCAGCTGGTAGAGGAAGCATGAGGTCTCCACAATATTTGGCGCCACAAACTTTGATTAGTGCACCTCTTGAGCATGGATGGAATTGGCAAGGCAGAGCTGGTTCGGTGCAGGATAGCTTTCAAGAGGATGACCAAATTAATTATAACTTGTCCTCAAATGATGCTGCTGGTGAGGACGGCGAGGGCGACAAGGATCATGATGCTGACGAAGATGACCTGGATGACGATGACATTGATATGATGGATGATTCTGATGATGATTTGATGAGTGATGAATTTGATTCCGACACAAGTCAAAAGAGCCATGGAACGCGGAAGAACAGTAGCTGGTTTAAGAAATTTTTTGAGGTAATCAATTCGTTGCCTTTAGATAAGATAAACGATCCTGAACGGCAGTGGCACTGTCCTGCTTGTCGTGGGGGTCCTGGTGCAATCGATTGGTATCGAGGTCTGCAGCCTTTGATGGCACATGCAAAAACAATCGGAGCGAAAAGGGTTAAGCTTCACCGGGAGCTTGCGGAACTCTTGGATGAAGAGTTGATGAGGAGAGGCACTTCAGTGGTCCCCGCTGGCGAAGTATTTGGTAAGTGGAAAGGGTTGAAGGACGAGGAGAAAGATTATGACATAGTGTGGCCGCCAATGGTTGTCATCATGAACACAATCCTGGAAAAGGGCGAAGATGACAAGGTAAAGTTGTCTTCTCTCGCGACGACACTCTGTATTGACAATAGTGGAAAGACTGGTGTTTTCTGTTCATTTCATTGATGACATGTCACTTTCTATCTTAAAATTTTAGTCAGCAAAGTATAGGCAACTGCATTGTGATCTGTTGGAAAATGCATCATTTATGTTTAGGTAGAGTACAATTGAACTCTGCCTTGTCTTCAATTTCAGTGGATTGGTATGGGAAACCAAGAACTTCTGGACTCCTTCGAAAAATATCCAGCCGTAAAAGCTCGCCATGCTTACGGTCCTCGGGGTCACCGTGGCATGAGCATTCTCATTTTTGAGAGCTCTGTGAGGGGCTTTTTTGAGGCTGAACGTCTACACAAGCACTTTGCAGACCAAGGAACAGATAGAAATGCTTGGGATCGCCGAGGAGCCTTATTTTATCCTGGGGGAAAACGTCAGCTTTATGGATATATAGCCAAAAAGGAGGATTTAGACATTTTTAACAGGCATTCACAAGGTCTCTCTCTCTCTCTCTCTCCTCTCTCTCTCTCCAGGCGTGTGGGTTTGTGTGGTTGCATGTGTGTTTGTTGTATATTGAATCTGTATTGCCTGTGTATTTTCATTTCTGTTTTGACCCTTCGGTTTCAAAATATTTTTGTGGTCAGCTAAATCTAAGCTGAAATTTGAGATGAGATCCTACAAAGAGACGGTGGTCAACCAAATTAATCAGATGACAGAGGACAACCAGCAACTCATCTGGCTTAAGAACAAGGTTGTTAAGGAGCGAATGCACTCGAGGGCACTCGAGAAATCACTTGGCATTGTGAATGAAAGGCTGGGGAGGACCATGGAGGAGAACTGTATTGTCAAGCAAAGAACAAAAATATTCTATGAACAGAACAAGGAGGAAGTATGGATTCATATCTCAGTAAAACTAAGTTTGAGAAATCTTTTTCTAGAGCTATATATCACTTCAATGTGCTTGTATTCTGTTGTTATTTCATTTGCGGAAGAAGTAAATTGACCTGGAGAAACAAAAGTTTTTCATTTCAACTTTAGTTTTTCAAACTGCGAGAAGCAGTATACTTTTGCCCACTTGCATGCCTTTTGCCCCTCTATGTTTACCATATCAAAAGGTTAGGCCAATCCTTAGGATTATAAATCTCAGGCTCAATTTTTTTGAAAGGCTGAATTTGGTCCATGCTATTTGCTCATTGTGTTTGGTGGAATATTTGAATATCTTAGTAGAATGTTTATCGCGTATGATTAAAGAATACGCGCTTCCCCCCATGTTGTATTTTCATGTCCACTTACTCTTGCGATGTGCTTCCGACAGACGGATTATCAGGAGCAGTTTTACAAAGAGCAAATTAAGGTCATGCATGATGAATTGAATGCGGAGGAAGAGGACTTCGAGAGGGAACAACAGGAGAAGAGAGAGCAAGTGAAGCTGTCAAATGCCAATCCTTCGAGTGCTGAAGATGAAAAGAGGGGGTACTGAAAGCTTTACTGTGCTGTTCTTATTTTCTTCCATTCCTCGACAATTGCGGTACTGATTTGGGCTTTTGGTTTAGGATGGAGGAAATCGCCGAGTTCATTCAGCTTCAGGAAAAGGAAATGGAGGAATTTGTGGCGAAAAGGGAGTTGTTGGAGAAAAGGCACCAAGAGAAGCTGGCGGCGACGAAGAAGAGGCGCTGGGTTGAGGATGTGGAGTTGGAGAAGGAGTTCAAAACCGAACTCACTCAACTCATGGAGTCATACTCCCGCCGCTGATTGGACCTGGACGAGAGATGTGGACGTTGCTTCTCTTACCTCTCTGAGAGTAGAGGAGAGGCCTTGTTGCATGTCACCAAGAAAAAGGAGTTTACTTGTAAAATCATTTGCTTATATACTAAAAGCAACGTTTTTCAACAATTTACTTTATGCTTTAAAACTTTTCGGCATCGATCAAATGGCAATGCATGTGGATGTTTAGGCCAATAGAAACCATAATCACCTCGTCTGCAAAACCATCAAAAATCGTTTGAATGTAAGAGGACTCACCGCATATACAAATTTCTCAGACATAAATGTTGTTTTAGATGCTATGGTGCATTGTTTTAATTTTGCAAACGATAACCGATCTTTATCTAGCTTGATTTTACCAAGCGTGCTCGGACAAAGTGTGTACTAAAAGAGACGAATGGAACACGTTCATGTGAGTAAGAAATGAAAGTTGAATTTCAAATATTTAAACAAATATGACACGTGCAATACTTCACATCTTTTTGGGGCATGCTAGGAAACGTCTCGCCGGATTCGGGAGGTTTTTGTGATGGCCCTATCTTTCCACCACAAAGGCAAAAAATCTTATCGTTCCATCCCAATTTTGTTTGCCAAACCCCAACCGACTGATTTGGAAAGGAATAAGCCGTTGCGCATGAGGCGGGGCCCAACTTTTTTTTTTTTGGGGGAGGGGGCGGGGGGGGGATAATTCCTCAATTTCCCTTCATGGCACGTGAAGCATTCGCTCTCGCCGGAGATTTGGGGACAAAGCGAGACAATTTTCGTGCAAGTTAGGGTGGTGGGGGGCGCAATTTGGAACAAAAGGACGGTTCCCTGGGGTTACTTTTGAGAATCTGCGCGCAATCTCGGGGGGTGAAAAACTGGAACTTCGCCTTAAGAAAAGCCAAAAACACTTCGCTTCCAGTTTGACACCGAAGACATTACAGCAAACACGTGCAGAAGCTTTGCTTCCCAACCATTGGACACCGTAAAAACTCGAAGATTCCAGCAAACACCTGCTGAAGCTTCCCAAGTCCCAGCCATGTCCGATGATCATTATATAAACCTCTCTTAAACCCTCCCCCGCGCGGCGAAACTACTCTTCTTCTTCTTCTTCTTCTTCTTCTGCCCCAGCTCCAGCCATGTGCGATTCCGACCTCGGAATCCTCCGCGAGTACGAGCTCCGCCTCCTCCGCTGCACCCTCCCTCCTCCTCCTCCTCCTCAGGCTCCAGCTCCATCTCCGCCTCCCGTTCCGAATCACCGCCTCCACGTCCTCGTCCACGGCCTTCTCCTCTCCGTCGAGGCCGGCGAGTATCGCGCGGCCCTTCTCGACTCCGATGCCCTCCGCCTCGTCTTTGGCCTCTCCGCGGGTACCCTCCCCGAGCTCTCCGACTCCGCCGACTCGGCTGAGGCCGCCTACTCCGAGTTGATTGACCGAGCCGAGTCGTTCCTCGTGAACGTGCCGGGCAACGAGGCGGAGGAGAGCGGTCTGAGGGTTGTTCTCGTCTTGTGTGTAGCTGTGGCGGCGCTTTTGGTCTTCACTCAATGTAACATCACCGGGTGAGTCCCATCGGTTTCCTCCTTGCTAATTTTATATGCAAACTTATCAGTGGATCAATTGTGCTAAAGGTTCCTTAATTATTGTTGAATTGCATTTAAAGACCTGATTTTTCAGTTCCAGAATTGATCAAGGTTTGATTTTTATGTAAATTTCAGACCGTTGAAGGAGTTTCCCAAGTGTCCTTTGCCATTGGATGTGGAGGAATATGTGGAGTGGGACAATTGGGCCCGTCATCAGCTCATGTCTGCAGGTTCTGATTTGCTCGGAAAATTCACTCATCTTCAGGTGGGTTTGTATCTGTCTGCTTGTATGTTTTGATGTATGTTGTATGAGTCTCTATGTGTGCATCTAACTCGTTTACATCGAGTGTGTGATCTCTCTCCCCTTCTACATGCCTTGAGGCTGGAACTTGGTTTTTCTGGTGATACGAAGATGAGAGTGATCACTATTCCTTGGCCACGTTTATGCAATGTACTAAACATGCTATACCCTGTCTCTTAGCCATTTGATCAACCAACGTAGGACTAGAAAACTTTAAAAGTAACTCACATAGGAAATTAAAGATGCTCTTTCCTCTAGGTGTGTGTGCACCCATGCCTGTGCCTGTGTTTGTTGACATAGCAACTGCATATGCTGGTGTTTCTTAAACTTGAGTGCACCAGCAAATGTATTTTACATCTTAACACTTTCCTTAAATGAATTCTCGTCGGATGATGAAAGTCATCTTAACACGACGAACTTGATACTTTTGAAACTCATAAATGACGACGAAGGAAAATCCATAAGTGGGTGAAGTATGAATGCCAGGAATCTCCTCAATCGGGCAATGCACCGACGATTACATCTCTTTGCCTAAGTACACATCTTACAACAAAATTAAACCTTTTCTTTTTGAAATAATTATAATCTGCTATTTAAAAAACGTGATTCAATGAAGAAATTTTTCTGTAGTTGGGAAGAGCATGTAATTTGTTGGATTTTTCAAGTATCAGTTTCTCGACAAATGTTTCTGACTCAGTTTCTCTTCCGGTTGATAGTACATAGTCCTTGCTAAGATGTTGCTTGTGAGGACAAAGGACTTGTCAGTTCGTGGCACTATAGCTTCGGTGGATGGACTACAAAGCATGTCATGGTGGCTGGCTCGTGTACTGTTTATTCATCAAAGAGTATTGGATGAGAGGTCTTCTTCTTTGTTTGATCTCCTGCATGTCTTTGTTGCTGAGAGTTTGCATCATTTTGGCTCTTTAGAGAAGGTATCTGGTTACTGGGGTCCCAAGTTAGGTGATGATGAAAAAAAGACGATTGTGTCAATGGTCCATCTAGAAGCAGGTATGGTGGAACATAGCTATGGAAGGATTGATTCTTGCAGGTCAGTTTCCATTTTTTTTTTTCCAATTTACACTTTGAATTGTCATTAACGAAGTTTGCAGTGAGTATTACATGTTTAGCTCATGTTGTCATGCTCTTTAAATAAAGTATGTTGTTCTTACTTTTTCCCAAATGATTTCATTTCTTTGACAGTGCTTGTGTATATGACATTTGGCTGTTCCTTGCTTTTGATTAAATTTTCTAAAAATGCTGATCTGGCAATAGACATCGAATGCGTCGGTGAAACGCGACTCCGTATAATGTCATCCTAAAATAGTCAGCAATGTATGACCTACTAGCACATTTTCTTGTGCAATTAGAGGTTTTAGGCTGAGGCAACATGACCAAAGTCTCCATCCCTATGGATCTGTTCTTACATCAAGACAGCAAGCTACCAGGAAAAGTTGCTTCACATTTATGTCCTTTTACTATCCTATATTATATACCCCTCGTTATGTATCAAAATCATCGAACCTCCACCAGTCAAAGAAACTACACGTTTCCACTCCTGCCCTTGCAAGCAAAGAATTTCGTGGAAGGCAAAGAAGGTCTCTTCCCGCCCCCCGGGCGGGGGGGCTGTGGTGGTTTGCTGGGCCTGTCTTTTGATCCCCTCGTTTTTGGTGGAAAAAAATGAATGAAGAGTCTCGCTGAGTTTATTCAACGAATATTCTTGCGGTTTGGCAACCAGGGAAAATGGAAACCCAAATTTTCTTTTTTGGAGAATAATTTGTGAATGAACTGTGCCCACTATGGTTTCCTCTTTTGCAAGGGAGGCATCTTGGTCAAGTAGTTAAGTATCAACAATCTTGGTAAATACATGCAAAAGCTGTTGAGCAGCAGCAGAATAAGTGGACCGTTTGTTACTGCACCGTCCTAGGACTCGAGGTATCTGGAATATTTACCTTTCACGGGTGTCAGGTGGGTAACAGCAAAATGTATGGAGGAGGAGTTAATAGAGGCATGAAGGGTATTAAATCAAAGAGAACCACGCAGAAGCGTCCAAAATTTATACCTTAGACATCATCTGGGTTGGCATGGAGGGAGAGGAATAAGAGAGTTTTTTTGAGAATGTAGAGATTGTGTAAATGTGTAGTATTTGCAGTTCTTTACTATTAATTTGTTCTTTAGTTACCACAGTAGATTGGTAGTTCTTCTAAATGACTTTCATATGGAGGTGAGGACCTCCTTGCTGCTACTTCAATAAAATTCCATTTTTATCGGTAAAAAGCAATATCATTTTCTTACAGCAATTAACTGATTCAAGTCTAGTCTAGTGTGATGATGGCTTGCCACATTGCATGGCGTCAAAAAGTCTGGTCCACTCATTACACTTTGTGAAGTTATGATGTTGATGCAATATGTGTGCTAATGATTTTCGTCATCAATAGGCATCATTTTGATTCAGCGGAAATGGCTACTGGGCTTCAGCTCTCGGTGACTGGGGTTCTTGGATTCCGAACTGCACATCAGGTGAATAGAAGTGCTGCTAGTGTCCATTGTTTTATCATGGAAGAACTCGTTTCATGGGTACTGTTTTGGGACCCATGCAAATGAATGGCTGTGATGCATGATTTGTGCTGCTCTATTTCCTCTAGGATTACAGAATTGAGACAATTGTTGTTGCTATCTGAACATGCTATTGTTGTCCTTTTTTCTAGTTAATATACAACTGGGTTTTTTGCCTTTTGAAATTTTTCTGAAGAGGGAGCAGTAGGAACGTTATATAATCTTTTGCTTGGACTGAAGTGGGTTTGCATCTCTTTATAACTTTCTTTCCGTTTTCTTTAATAATTGATACTAGGTAGAAGCAAAAGCACAAAGAGTTCTTGTTACAAATGTAAGCTCATTGGACGATGGAGACATAGAGCCCTTGTTGAGGCTTGGTGAAAATAATTCGAGATCATTGCAACATGTCACATGTGAGACCTCTGATGTTTTGATGACTCCTAAATTGTTAGAGAATAATCATGGTGATGTTAAGAGTGCTATTCAAAGCGTTCAGAGTGGTAGTATTGCGGCTCTCCCATTGCATGCAATCCAACAGGCAGTGATCCTGGCAAAATGTCTTCTGATAGAAAGGAGCTCTCGACAGGATGAGATACAAAGTAATGTTTTGACCATGTACTCCTTATTTTGTCTGTGGGTTGCAAACGTTCCTGTTTCGTTTGGTCTCGATGTTGAAAAATTGGCCTTTACTTAACTACATAAGCATGTCGTCTTGGTACATCATCACGTGAAATGTCAATCCTTTGAGAATGTTTTCAATATACATATATTGTGAGGTTATCCACAAAGACAATTTAAACCATTGAGCCGTTGATGCACAGAAAGAGGCAGTGCGCTGGAAAGTTTAAAAGAGAATTGAAAGTAGAAAAATGTTAACATGCT